CTGGCAGTTCAGGCAGTACACCCCGGTTACTCATATTATGATGTTGCTTTTTGTTACATTTTTGCGCACTTGGCAGAATGATGGTAATAATCCGTTGATGTTACATTTGTCTTGCTTTAACTAAATACTCCCTCTGTCCCAAATTTTGTGTTTGTTCCGGTCTAGGGGATTTGGACAGATGATTTCTAAAAGTGAAGCGGTAAGGCAGAAAATGATGGAAGCTGCAGGTCCAACGCAGAAAACGATTAAAAAGTTAAGGCAGGAACTGTTCGAAATTAAAGAGCTAAAGAAAAAACGATGTTTTAAAGTGTAGATCCGAAGCAGAACTTGGCTAGTTTCCTGCCTTAGCTTAGGGATAATCCACCACAAACTTTAAAAGGTTTCTGTCCAAACCTTTCCACAATGCAGTGGAATTAATGCCAAAAGAAGAAAATGGGATGGATTGTGGGGGTGGGGTGGGGGGGGATTCCATAGGGGTTTAGGGGGAGGGTTAGGGGTAGGAATCGTTTTTTTTACAAACGGAACACCGCAATTACTCCAAACGAGCTGGTGTAAGCAAATGACACCAATAGCACTGGTGTTATTTTAGACTTACCGTATATGTGTGTGTGTGTGTGTGTGTGTATACGGGTAATGGAATGAAACGGGAAAATATTTGTGTATCACAGTCTTGTCCCATTTTACAACGCTTCAAAATGGGTTCGGGAAAAAAAATTTGTATCCCTAAAAAACGAAACGTTACAAGGACATTATCAAGATATTTCGGATTGGGACATTCGTTTCGTGATTGTTGCCCACCCCTACCCCACCCCACCACCTTTTTTTCCTCATGTTGAATGAACATTCAGCGTTAAGTTAGGCTCAGACAAAAAAATGGGTTCAATCGGAAAGGTACCAATCGTTTCTCTACAAAATTTCAATCGGGTCTTATCTTCTTTGGTTGTTGTGCGATTTTGGTAAATTCTAACGAACAAACCCTTCAAACCGGGTTTTTTCGAATTTTAAAGGTTTAGTTAATTTATAGACTATCAGACATGAACTTCTCCCCTGGCTTGAGTGGTAGCAAGCCCACTCCCCAGGATTCATGAGGAAGTTCACCTAGGTTCGAGCCCCAGCAAAGACAGCAGCATTGGCTCTTTGTGCGTCATTAGTTTGAGAATAGTATGAACAGATACTACCTTGTAATAGAGTCAATAGCATTCAAAAAAATAGACTATCATACATAAACATAGTCATACAATATCTAAAAAAAATCAGCAAGTATCATCAATCGGTGGGGTTTATCATGATCAATCATTCATTTGTTCACTTCAAATCTTGCATATTCTTAACTACACCCATCCTACTATATTCCACATTAATTCTATAGAAGTTAGAATCCAAACCCTCGCCAAGACCTACCTAAACTCAAACTCCAAAGATCTCTCAAAGGAAGAGATTGACCCCAACCAACTCTCAATCACTAATCTTCGTATCTACGTTTTAGTCATTCTCTGTGTTACTTTCAATCACACCTTTTTACTTTTTTTTAAATTTTAACGATGTCGCATAATTATCTTACATTTTTCAAAATTTCTACATATTTAATTTTTTTATTCGTAATAGTGACACCAAGTC